CCTCGTGGATCCAGCGCAGGGATGAAAGCTACTACAGAGAGATGGAATCGGAACATCTGCTTTGCTGCTTCATCATACAAAGCACCCACAGTGGTTCGATCTTTTAGGATGAAGCTGCACCTCCAACTTCTTTACTGTGTTTACACCCTCGAACACACTGAAGCCATTCGTTCCCAAATCACGCCAAACTCAACACCCTCACTGGCAGCTGTAAGCGCCTTCAATTAGTTAAATAAAATAGTTACTTCAAAGCTGCGAAACAACGGATGAAAGTCTACACGTCCAACCTGCGTGGCTCTAGTTCAGCGCCTCATAACGAGCTGCAAGCAGTGAACGTGTGCGTGTGTGTGTGTGTGTGTGCGCCTGTGTGTGTGTGTGTGTTGGAGGGGGGGGGGGGGGGGGTAGTGAACTGACTCTTCCGGGTGATTTTGCGATGGCCTCGTATCCCGTGTGAATGTGGAAAGTCCCTTGAGATTAGTTTGAGTCCACTTGTGAGGCCTGAAATCACCGCTGGCACAAAGAGACAAAACACACATCAGATCAGCAGTTGTGTGTTGGTGTGTGTGAAGCCTCTAAACTAAAAAAACTAAAAAGTGTTTCTGCAAAATCCTAAAATGATTCTTTTGTGGTTACTTTGAGCTTCCGATCTGCTTCCCTGTGCCTGTTTACCAGGAGCACAACCTGGACTGGTTCCCGCGCATGCGGGCCATGTCCCTGGTCAGCAGCGATGCGGACGGCGAGCAGAACGAGATCAGAAACCTGCAGGAGAAGCTGGAGTCCACCATGAAACTGGTGTCCAACCTGTCGGGTCAGCTGACGGAGCTCAAAGAGCAGGTGGGTCCGACAGCAAGCGGCGAGCGGCGGATTCTGTCTGCCGCTTACTGAGGATGCTACTGTCAATCATCCCCGACACCCCCACGAGGCCCTCAATCAGCCTTCAGTGGCTTGGTTCTTATTGGGTTACCAGATAAAACCTTTCTGGATATTTACAAAAGCAAATATATCAATATAGCAAATATACCCTTATATCAATAAGACACGTATGTTGTGACTTTAAAACTATTCCTTCTAAAGGAAAAACACGTCGTGCTTCTCGGTTGATTCAAATCTGCTGATACTGTGGACGAAATGAGGATCCGATTGCGCAATCACTGCAGTCCACCCTTTCTAGTAAACCTTTTATGTGTAAATGTCTTTACCCTTGAAATGAGAACTATGTGTGAGGAAGTGAATGTCACCGAGACGTTTTGACCCAGACAGGGGAAATGATTATTGTGTTGCTGCAAGCGGCGAAGGGCACCGGCCTCGCTCACATTTCAGTCCAAACTCCTTTTATTAAGAAGCCTCAGTAAATGGAAACTAGCATCCGGGCAAACAACAGTCCAGCTGGTAAAATTGGCATAATGAGACATTTACAGATGTTCTGCTGCTCTCAGAGTTCAGGCGTCCACTCGACGTGTCGCAGAACTCTTTCTCTTGGACACTCGTCACAAGACCCCTTCGTCCTCTCGCTTTTCACATTGTTGTGTTTAAGCGCAGTCACTTCCTGTCGTGCTCCTGCTGCTGTAAAGGTCGGCGCCCGCTGTTTTGACTCACGGGCTTTGCTTGATCTCTGAAATATCTCCCCACGGACTTTCAGTATTACTCGCTTGTGTTGTGCCGCTTTCGTCAGAGGAGACAACGGGGATGGCGATTTACAGCAGATTCCGTTTTTGAGTTCAGCCGCGCGTTGGTTTGTGTAAAGCGAGAGAAGGGATGGACGGAGACGGGGAAGCAGCTCATCATGAGGACGAGGACAGCAGAGGGACAGCTGGACTCATTTCACTGTTTTCTTCTCTTCAGATGACCGAACAGCGGAAGCAGAAGCAGCGGATCGGCCTGTTGGCGCACCCTCAGCACATGAACGTCAACCCCCAGCAGCCTGCGTGAGGGGTCCGTCACAGCGCCGCCCGCCCGCGTGTGTGTGTGTGCGTGTGCGTGTGTGTGCGTGCGCGTGCGTGTCTGTGAGTGTGTGTGCGTGCAGTCGGTCACGGTAACATAAGTAGTCATAAGGCGACGTGTAGCTCTGCCTCGCGCACGCATCCCTCTGCACAGCAACACTCGCCCACCTCCATCTGTTCAGGCCCGTTTGGAACTGGTGCCAAATGTTTTCTACGTAAAAGACGGATCGGGTCTCTCAACACACGGCCTTTACTGGTTGAACTTGAAACACGATGAACGTGACTGGACAGGAGGGATTAGTCGCATTTGTTTTAATCAAATGTTTTCTATTCATATTTCTGGCATAACGAGCAGTATTAAATGTCTTATTTTTGTATGTGGCCGTGCAATATATTAACTTAAATATGCAACCCCGTTGGCGTGCGCATTTATATTGCGTCAATTATGTCTTATTTAAAAGCATGGGCCAATTTTTCTGTTGGTACTTAAATAGGGAGTAGTTGGTTGTCTGATGTAATATAGAAATAATATTTAATAAGCTGGCATTTTCAATTTGACTTTTTTTTAATTCCTCAATAGAGATCGTATACATAATATATTGTGCCAGATAGTTTTCTTTCACCTGTGCAAATGCAATGGTGTCACGTCTCAGTGCTGACTTGTTTTCTTATTTAATAGCGTTCATAGGGGTTCATGTGTCGGTCACATAGAGCGCGTCATTTATTGGTTATTACAATTTGCTCAGGAGTTTGTAATAAACGCCATTAGCATAATTTCCTGCTTTGCAGCAAACATGTTCCGTTGTGCCTGTTTCTTTGTTTCTAGTCTGCTTGTGCAGAGTCACCAACTTCCACCCAAATGTGTTAGTTGGTTTTCATGCTACTTTCTTTTTTTTGGACCATGTTTACATAACGTTTGTTGCATATTTTTGCTTTTACCGATGAATGTTAAGACTAAAAATCTAAGCACTGTCAATTTGTATATTAAAGTAGAATTATTTATTAAAATTGCTGTAATTATCCTTTACTTCATGTTGTCTCTGTTTATTGGTCGTTTCATAGAAGTAGTGCATCGCCTTTATTAATAAGCTCTGGTATATCATCTCCCAGATGAAATTGAGGGGGGATCAGTTGTTTTAGTCCTTAGAAACCAGCGGTTGAAAACATACAACGTGTTTTCAGTGCGTCACCAATAAGACGAGGACGTGTCCTGAGTTCATCTTTTGGTGAAGCTGCCTCTCGGCGGGAAACGTGCGTCAGTGAAAGCAGCAAACGACAGCAGCACAAGTGGAACGTGTACGCAGGTGGATTTAGCCGCACTAATTGTCTCGACTAATTCTAAAGCCTCACCCGTCGGTCGATGAGCCCATCCGCCTTAAAGCTGCAGTATTGAAACACTGTTTTGTGTTGAGTCAGACTAAAACTGCTTATCGCTGTGCTAACACACATCTGCTCGTGACTTTCTTCAAACTCGTATGAATCCTCCACATCTGCTCGTAATAAACATCGTGTTCCTCACCGACTCATCGCAGCGTGAAATGTTGGTGAATCCAGTGGAACGACGAAGCTCAACACTCGAATCTGTGTAGATGAAGGATTGCTGAACATTACACTTTACACACAAAGCATTTAGTAGTGCAATGTATCTGTTTTCAGTATTTAAGTGGGCCGTGTCACAGCCAGCGTTACATTAATTGACTATTAATTGTGGAAATAATACTACTTTTATATTTCTGCTTTGGTTACATGTGTTTCAAATATTAACTTTTTTAGGATGAGATTTTACGTTCAAAATACCAAAATCCATTGAATATAATGCAAAGATTAAACGGTGTAGTGAATATGAATTCTAATATATTTTATATTTTACTAATGACTACAAAAAAAAATGATGAACCGTAACACACTTTAGCGACTCTACCTTGACTAATACACTAACAAATTGTAGCACTTAAATTGTAATTTTAATGCCACTTATCTATAGTTTATAGATTTATTTGAATTTGATGAAATCACACTTTCTTGTTTCTTGTTCTTCTGAGTTTGTATCCTTATGGTTAAATGCACTTATTGTAGCTAAATTACATCTAATGTAATGTAATATAATATATTGTGATGTAATATAATATATTGTGATGTAATATAATATATTGTGATGTAATATAATATATTGTGATGTAATATAATATATTATAATGTAATATATTATAATGCAATGTAATATAATATATTATAATGTAATGTAATATATTATAATGTAATGTAAAAATAGGGTAAAAAACCTCACAACGCAGCATTTCCTTCTCCAGAGCAGAAAGTTGTCGCGGGTTCGGGTCTCGGCATCAGACGGCGGCTCGCTCCGTTCTATCTTTAGACCCGGCTGCTCCGGGACGTCGGGGGGTTTCAGCGGGGGGGCGAGCGCCCAATCGGGAACCCTCGGCTGTCGGCGCACCTGACGTCACCGGCATGGATCCGCCGCTCGGCTCTTAACGTGGCGGGGGGGCAGGTTCGGTGCTACCGGCATGAGGAGGAAAACAAACCGCTCCGCGACGGTTTCCCGCCGCAGGGGCACGTGTCGCACAGCAAGTGGGTCCAGTGGGAAATGACACGGTGTCCCTCAGCGCGTGACCGCCAAAAGACGTCTTGTCTTGTTGGTGTCTTATAGTACAAGTACATATGCTTCATATTTCTACTAGTATGTATTCATGTCATGTTATTAATAGTGCCACATTAACTTTACTGTGACCTTATCACACCTTTTCGTGGTAAACTATTACTGTTAGTGAGAAACGGGCCTTTTCTCACACGTCACTCTAGAGGCCACGCGGGGTTTTGTCACGTACGTATAACAAAGTAATAAAACGCCTTTTTGCACTTAGCGGATTAATATCCTAACCGTGACGAGGCCCGGCGCTCTACTTTCTCTCCCTGTCAACACGCTGAGGGCAGCGCGGCGCTACACGGGACTGCGGTGGAGGAGCACTACGCGGGCGGGTTGTGCTCCAGCAGCAGGGCGCGCGGGGGGGGGAGGGTGAGGCGCGCGCGGGGGGGGGAGGGGAGTTGAAAGCGCCGTCCAACACGTGAGGCTCATGTGACGGTGTCGAGTGTGTGTCTGCAGCCGAGAGACGCGCCCGCAGTCACAGGGTTTATTTAACACGTAGACACAGACGCACGCACGTCCTCCGCGGACCCGCAGCCTCCAGGGACGCGACACGGCAGCACGCGCGCCGCTCCCCGGGAAACGGACCCGCTCTCCTCGCGCTCTCCTGTCATTCGATGCTCCTTCCTCTTATTCGTGTTTGAACGCGAGCGACATGGAGCGGATCAGCGTGGACGTGGCGGACGTGCGAGGGTAAAAGCAGCGCGCGGAGCCGCTTTCTCTTCTGTTCCAGTCGAGCTCGAGTCTTAACTAATTCGCTTCTGTGTCCCAAGGATGGATTTCTCCATGTACGTGTACAAGCCGCGGAGGGGCGTGAAGCGCGGCGCGGAGGACAACAAGGTAAATCAAGTCCAAACGCCGACATGTTGCCGCTTCCCCAGCGGCGCGGATCTCACACGCAGCCCGTTTCCGACCCCCCAGGAGACCTACAAGCTGCCCCACCGGCTCATCGAGAAGAAGAGGCGCGACCGCATCAACGAGTGCATCGCGCAGCTCAAGGATCTGCTGCCTGAACACCTGAAGCTCACCGTGAGTCTCTTCTGGGACACGTGGGCTCCAACCTTCACTTTGGGCTCCACTCTCAAAGAATAAAAAGTTGTTTTATTTTAACAATGAAAATGAAAAATGTAATTTTCTTGTAATCGTGTCGTTTATTACAATTTAAAATTCGATCGATCTTAATTTGCCGGACTGGTCTTGCGTCGCCTGCGTCCTCTTCAGCTGCACAACGTGTTACATAAGAAAGATCAACACGCTTATCGAAGGTCTTCCTGTTTTAGACGCTGGGTCATTTGGAGAAGGCCGTGGTGCTGGAGCTCACGCTCAAGCATGTGAAAGCCCTCAGCGGCGTCCTGGAGCAGCAGCAGCAGAAGATCATGGCGCTGCAGAACGACCTGCAGATCGGTGAGTTCCGCGTGTGTGAAGCTACCGCCGCCACGGCCGAGCGATCTGTTCCTCCAGCAGAGGAAATGCGTGCTGTAGAGGTTCATTTTCTAACCCTGCGGTTCCGATCGACCAGGTGATCGCGGCGGCGGCGTGGAGGCCGGCGAGGAGATGTTCCGCTCCGGCTTTCACTTGTGCGCGAAAGAGGTCCTCCACTACCTGAGCAGCCAAGACAGCAGCAGGGACCTGACCCCCTCCCACGTCATCAGCCACATCCAAAAGGTCGCGGCGGACGCCCTGCATCATCAAAGTGGCGCCGTGGAGGCCGTTCCCCAGGCGACGGAGAACCTGAAGAAGCAGCCCGCCGGAGAGCCCAAGAGGGCGTACGAGGGCTCGGCCAAGAACTGCGTCCCCGTCATTCAGAGGACGTATCCCCACGCGGCGGCGGGGGAGCAGAGCGGCAGCGACACGGACACCGACAGCGGCTACGGCGGAGAGCACGAAAAGCGCGACGCCAAAGCCCAGTGGTCACAGAGCCACGCCAAGGAGGGGGAGCGCAGGCGCGTCGCGGCAGCCGGCGCCATCAAGCAGGAGGCCGACGAGCCCCGGGCCAAGAAGTCCAAGTCCGACCCCTCAGAGGACGAGACCCTCTCCGGCCGCGTGGGGGGAGGCTACATGAGCTTCTCCCCCAACCAGCCCCCCTTCTGCCTCCCCTTCTACCTCCTCCCACCCGCCACCTACCCGCCCATGCTGCACAAACGCTGGTACCACGGGGGGATGCCCGCGATGTACCCGGGCGTGAGCAGGACCCCGGACACGTCCCCGAGGGCGGGCTCGCCAGCGTCCTCCTACCAACACCCCATGGACGCCCCCGCTCTGCCCAAAGCGCCGCAGCAGGTCGCCCCGCTGAACCTGGAAGCCAAAGACTGAGCCAAGGCCTCCATGTTGGAATCTCGCCCTCTGAATGTGGATGTGGTTGAAAAGACGCTTACGACAACAACAACAACAACAACGACGACAACAACCCACAAACTCCGGGCTTCCCTTCAAACCTCAGCCGCTGTTTGGCACGTCAGAACCCTGAGAGGGGTCACGGGTCACCGTGGTCTCACCACCGGCTCCCCGCACACTGAAACCGGACCTTCACGGGTCGACCCGGCTCTGAAGCGCTGTGATGGCGACGACGGCTCGCTGCTCAGTGATGAATGTCAGAGGTAAACGACGAATGTAAGGCCCAGAGACGCCCCCCCAAAATGATTTGGACCTACTTCTTTTGCACACACACCACCCGCCAATGAGTGTAAAGAAAAGCGCCTCGTAAAGGCTGCTTGACTGACCTTTGACCTGCTGTGGATCTGCGCCACGGAGGATCAGCTTTAAGTGCAGCTGCAGTGAACGGGAGACCAGAGACACCGACACCCTTCGTTACCTCGCGGCGCTCTGAGAGTTCTGGGTGTTGCCCCCGTACGGCGTGCGCCTCCCCGTCTATTTTTAAAAGTGAAGTGAAAGATTTCCTTTGTGACTCATGACTATTTGTGCGTCCACACGGGTCCCTGTGAAGTCACGTGGTGTAAATTGTTGTTGTTTTTGCTCAAGCTACTCGTACATCTCTATTTTTGATACGTGACCCGCCATCGCGACCCGATGGAGGTCGGTCGCTTCGCTGCTCCACCTGATTAGCATCTCGCCCACAAATTCCCCGTCAAGTTAAGGCCTGATCTTCGCTCATTGATGTTGCCTTCACAGACGCACACAGACACACACACACAGACACACACAGACGCACAACGACACGACGTGTTTCAATGTATTCTTGCTTTATATGTCGCGTCTGAGGCAGAAAGAGTGAATGTAAAGTCTAAAGAAAAGTAATAGTTTTGTATAGAGGTACTTGGGATTTTTATTTTGAAATGTAACAAAAGGTTGTTTGTTGTACATATTTTGTATATAAAGTATTATGAATATATATTAATAAAGCTTCTTTTTTCTCCCTGCCTGTGGATGTTGGCTCTCGGTGTGTGACGGGTGGCTCCTCATAACAAACACTTACATAAGTCTTACATAAGCCTGAGAATCAATAGCACGTCTTATGTTACACTACGCAGATTCTAAAGCGTTTCTAAGACGCCGACGGTGGAAGTTGTTATTTGATTGCGTCACAGTGTGGACTGTGTTTGCTTTCTGAACACTGTCCTGCATATTAGACGCTGAAATGTATAATCTGCATTATACATTTCTAATAACGGTACATAGGACTATGTGGCTACTTGACACCACAGAGGATGGAAATGGTATTTGAGGTTGTGGGAGGACGAACTTTATATCTTTGATCAGATTCACTTTCAGATTGAATAGTATGGAACCGCCCCCCCTCTTCCCTTTTCTTATGATCACAACAGTATTGGTGAAGTTACTCCAGCGCAGGAGGACTGCTGAGGGGCCTGATGGGCTCACCAGTGGAGTCACAGCGCCTCCTTGTGGAATTATTGCGTCACACCATTTTCACGCTAAGTGATGAGTCCTGCCGCCTATTGAGAAAAAGTTAGTAACAACTTTAACACTAAATGTTATTTTATCCTTCGTATTAAGGGTTTTAAAATGTGAAAGGATAATCTATTTATACATTATGACACACGATATGTTTACCGATTAATTGGGTTTAGGCCTTCAGAACAGTATTTGATTTATCTTCTATTCTTGACTCATATTTCACAACACAATCCGAATAAGTAAGTTAAATCCGGCAGGAATACGTTTTAAAAGAATGTCTTCATTTACATCTACATTGTCTACGTTATCTTCCATTGGTTCCCATCTGAAGGTGCATCACACCGATGTGATTGAGGCAGAATGGGGCCCGAGGTGGAAACTCCTGCCGACAGCAGTGTGGAAGAAGATCAACATGAGATTAAAGAGCAGCTTCCAAGAAGCACAGAAGGGAATGACCTTGTGATTGGGATGCAGCCGGATAAACGCGTCGGTGGGGGCTGTTGTTGCTGGGAACACAGTGTGCACTGTGGGGGAGGCAGGCTGTTGCTGGAGGGGGGGCTGATTTCTCTTCAGCTCACATCACTTATAGTGGGGCGCTAATCAAACATCAGGATGACCTCAAGGAGACGGTGGAAAAAGCTGTTTCGGGCTGTAATCACTGCCGGTGATGCTGTTTCATTCCTCATAAACAATGTTCACACATTTACAGATAGGACCACTGTGTGTTATCCTTAATATGCAACTCCCCAAGAGCTCGTGCTCATCAGGGTGAGTGAACAGCACCGTGAGAGCATTTATTAAAGCAGGTACATAAATGCTGGTGCTGTCAGCCGTTGTTCTTTCTAAATGTATTGATTTAAACATAATACAATTGATTGTGGCTGATACTGTTGAACTAAATCAACCGTAAACAGCAGCAAATCATTATTTAAAGTGACTAAAAACATTCCACCGTTTTTGGCACACTTCCTTTTTTTGTCTCAAAAACATTTTGTCCTGGACTCTCTGCCTGTCTCTTTTCTACCCCCCCCCCCCCCCATCACTCCTAAAGGCTGTGTGTGTGTGTGTGTGTGTGTGTGTGTGTGTGTGTGTGTGTGTGTGTGTGTGGTTGGTCAACTCTAACTTCCCTTTGAGCATTTCCCAAATTGTTCTGTCCACTACTGTGTTTTTATTGTTATTTTTATTTGTGTATTCTAAATAATTTGTTCATTCCAGTTTGTTGTTTAGTCTATTTATGAATTATTCTTATGGAAGAATGTATTGACACACTAAGTACTTATGTTCTCACTCACGGCATCTTAGGCGTGTAATTGATGAGCTGAAGACCCCTCTACCGCTCAGTGACCCTTGACCTCTCAGTGACCCTGTGCCTTCTCAGTGACCCTTGACCTCTCAGTGACCCTCTGACACACGCTGCATTGAGATTGTCAGGAGAGACACACCGTTAAGTAGCATGTAGGAGGAATGTACGACATGCATGTGGAAATCTTAATAACTCTCTACATTTGACATTCAAACGATCTCATCACAGCCTGTGGAACCCGAAACAAATGGTGTGTCTTTGTTAAAAGGATTGAATACATTTGAATTGGAGTTGCTGGTGGTTTACATCTTCATTCCAGTCTCATGTGATTACAGTATATATATATATATGATATAAAACGTACAACTAGAAGCTGAAAACAATCTAAACGCTCTAACGCTGCATAACAGGTGACGTATATGTTGGAAATTGAGCATAAACTCTTAATCTACAACCACCAGTAAACACAACGGCTGCTTGGCAGATTACAGCCAAGCAGCTAATATCTATCTATGCTGATAGATCTGATGCTGGTCAAGATTACGCTAATTGTACTGATTTATTCATTTGGTAGTTACGTCTATAAAGCACAATAACCCATAAACTGATATTCCATTACTTGTGGAGTAAAAATGACACATTTCCCCTTTATAATGCGGTATAATTATAATGTTGAGTTCCTCAACCCTTTACATAAATGCAGGAACTGTTCAGTCAAATAGACGTTTATTATAGAGGAACAATATCATCTGAGTACTGAAATATTACTAGCTAGTAACCCATTTGCTCTTTAGGTAATTTAACTTCAGTTTAAAGTTCTACTCACATAAATGAATTAATAACAAAGATGCTAGCGCATTATTCTTTTTTTTCAGTTCTCAACTATTTGTCTTAATATATTTAATAATTTGGCGTAATCGCGGTTATTATCACAATGAAGCCAAAAGCCAAAAGTTTACGGTTTATAACCCGTTTATTAACCCGCTCTTATTGTGAAACCCCCCAGAACGGAAGTCCCAGCGCTGTTCTTTAAATCCCGCGCACGCCTCCGCGCGCCACCCGCCGCCACGATGCTGCTGCCGCTGCTGCTCGCGCTCGTGCTCGTGCCGTCGGGCCGCGCGCAGTTCGCCCCCCCCACGGTGAACATCAGCCTGGATGAAGACCCCGCGGTGCGCTGGGACCCTCTGCTCGCGGTCTTCGACATGGACTTCCTGCGGAGAGCCGCCGCGGAGGTCATCGAGTGAGTTCCATAGTTCCGTGTTGTGGGCGGAAGAGAAATGATTATGATTATACGAGTTACATATTGGACCCAAGTGGTGTTTAAATATTATATAAATACAGACATAATCTATCCTGAACTGATTCCATCCTTCTGTAAACCAGAGAGATCACATTTATCAGCATCGCTGTCATTTAGCGAGTAAAGCAATAACGTCATCCTTTAGACCCGCCCACGCCTGGGCTTCATGCACCTGAGTCCAGGAAGGAAAATAAGTCCATTAGTGCATTTTACAACTTTTATAGTAGAGATATTCATGGGTTACTTCTGACCAGTTAATTCCAATTCCTAAAAAATGATACGTGATTAAATATGAACTAAATATATTTGGCCGTCAAATGTCGAAACCGGGAATCAGGATTCTGCGGTTCGGCATCATGTAAATGAGCCTGAGGACCAGTGAGCGGCAGCTTCCTGTTTCTGTGTCATGTGAGTTCAGCCGCTGCCTCCGTCCTATAAGGGACAAGTGTCTGCCACCGTCCTATAGGGGACAAGTGTCTGCCACCGTCCTATAAGGGACAAGTGTCTGCCACCGTCCTATAAGGGACAAGTGTCTGCCACCGTCCTTTAAGGGACAAGTGTCTGCCTCCGTCCTATAGGGGACAAGTGTCTGCCTCCGTCCTTTAAGGGACAAGTGTCTGCCTCCGTCCTTTAAGGGACAAGTGTCTGCCTCCGTCCTGTAAGGGACAAGTGTCTGCCACCGTCCTATAAGGGACAAGTGTCTGCCTCCGTCCTTTAAGGGACAAGTGTCTGCCTCCGTCCTTTAAGGGACAAGTGTCTGCCTCCGTCCTATAGGGGACAAGTGTCTGCCTCCGTCCTTTAAAGGACAAGTGTCTGCCTCCGTCCTATAAGGGACAAGTGTCTGCCTCCGTCCTTTAAGGGACAAGTGTCTGCTGTTATGTATTGACATTATGGCCCGTGTTGCATGTGAGTGCGTTTTAGGAGCCGTGTCCAGTTGTAGTTGTCTCGCGGGACATTACTGCTTGTGTTTTTGACTTAACGATCTCACACGATTTGTATCTTAAATATCAGAGAATATCCACGTTTCTTATCTCAATATACATCCTGCTGGATTATTTCCAGTACAAGGTCCTTATCCACTTAGATCACTCAGGTTTTATTTAGTATTACAGTATAAAAGAGAAAGTGGCACTTTGACATCTTACTGAACTATTTGTGGTTAACAGCTAACATGAAGTTTATTTATTATGGACACATCATGGCAGCCTTCAACCAGCAGTGAACTAACTTTGTGCATCTTCCAGTTCTGACAGTTTCCTCCCTTGTTGTCAGTACTACAGTTCCAAAATGGCTACATGAAGCTCTTATTCCTCTGGCGATGGACCTTGAGAAGTACATTCCTCAGCCGTACGCGGGGGAAATCCGCGGCTTGGCCTCACACCTCGGAACCCCTTCAGATGTCATCATTCTCAACTTTGCCTATGAAATATCTGCGTATGTATGACTGAAGACTTAATTACAATGTTAGACTCGGTGTACAGTGCAGGAGCTTACGGTGTCATGCTAGTGGCGTGTGCTGGATCACACATGCAGACCTTGTCATGCTTGCAAACAAACTTTGTGCGTTCCTAGATTTTGCACTAGCATCGTAGCTCAGGACCAGAGGGGGCACGTGTACCACGGCAGGAACCTTGATTACCCACATCCTGTCCTGAGGAATCTGACCATGGACGTAATATTTCTCAAGAACGGAAAGGTACAGAACACCCGCAAAGTGCTTCAATGACGTCGTACCTGCTGAATTTATGTTATAAGGAGCTTTATTTGACAAACCCAATTAGGAGGCATACCGGGGAACGTCGTTTGCTGGATACATTGGCCTGTGGACGGGACAGAGTCCCAACAAGTTCACCATCTCTGGCGACCAAAGAGGTATGACCTCGCTTCTTTTCAGCCGCCATGTTTGTCCAGATAAGTTGCAAAATTTGATTTGATTTGATCGTTTGTGATCACCAGGCACTGACCGCTGGTGGAACTGGTGGAAGAACGTGGTGTCTGCTTTCATTTTAGGGCGATCCCCAGTCAGCTGGCTGGTGAGGGAGGTGCGTACCGTATTTTAAGGATGCATGAGGTAATGAAACTCTGAAGGTAGGAAGTGGTTGAAATCAGTCACTTATTACGACCCTCATATTTACAACAACCACTTTACTTCTTCTGGGTTTACCGTTCACAATAAAAGCCCTCGACATAAAGCATATGTTGCATCTCTGCTATCCGAGTCGTACTAAATGATGGGAAATATGTCACATATTAATGTATCAACCACCATTTTGCTTTGCAATACTGACTTACACTGAATGCAAATCCACTCAACAGACTTGTAAATTTGGTGCTCAGATGCAAGTAACGCCAGAGCTGACGAGTCTTGTTGTGAACTTCTGTCTCAGCAGCAAATTAAACTCATGTAAACCACAGACTTGAAAGTACCCTCTTCCTTACACTTTGCAGACACTGGAGGAAGCGAAGGACTTTCAGGATGCAGCGATGCGTCTCTCCAAGACGCCCATCATCACCGGGGTGTATTACATCGTGGCTGGGACGCGAGCGGGGGAAGGCGTCGTCATCACCAGAGACCGAGCAGCCGCTGCTGATATCTGGGCACTGGATCCTGTGAGTGGAGGGTAGGTCCAAACCGAAGACCTGAGAAGCATGTGTTCCATCAAAGCGCTGGTTTGAGGTGGGATAGTGCAGTGCGGAACCCGAACATAAAACCTGTGCGTTCCTGTTCCAGATGGTATCGAGTGGAGACAAACTTTGACCACTGGCTCCCGCCTCCAGCCAGGGATCACCGGCGGTGAGTCATCTCACGCCATCAATGCTTCCGTGATATCGTTGCAGTCACAGTTTTTATACTCTTGCTATATTCACTTTGTAGAGACACAGCCAACAAAGCACTAAACGCTACTGGCCAAGATCACATCAATATGGAGACACTTTATCAGGCATGTATGAACTAACAAATCAATACTTCAGGGGGCCAAAGTACACACAATACTGAGAAATATTGTGTACAGCATATTTTGAACTCTAATTTTGCCTCATAGGTTCTGTCGCTGTCTCCGGTGTGTAGTGGGTAAGCACAACTTTATTCCTCGCTGTCTGTTTGTAGGAACCACAGGTCTGTTCATGTGTCGGTGAACTGTGTGCAAACTAGTGTCTGTTCTTTTGGAGCCTTTGTTTGACTCACAGCTTCAGCACCTAGCGAGTAGGACACAGAGCAGCAAGAGCTCAGTGTCTGTGAGAACATCGACAGCTTCATGTTTTGGGCAAAGGAATGATTATTCTATCTGTATTTTGTATAATTATATTGCAGCTTCAGCTAGCGGCATGTAATAGTTTGTGTTGATAATCCCCAGAGGAACCATTTACACAACAATAATGAGTGCAGCGACCCCCGACAAGTACAACACACTTGTTAGGTCACAGGTAACTGCATCTTTCGTATTCATAATAAGCAACAAAGGGGTGACGTCTCACTGAAAATGAAGCCTTCTCCCCCTCATGTCTTCCAAGGGCTGTCGCCGATCTGACGGGAACTGAGCGGTCGAGACGGTTTTTACTGTAGACTTCATTCAACGTGGTTACCTGAAGATCCTCGATGGCGACGACATTTAATCACCAACGATTAGAAGGGAGTTGGACTCATTGTCACGGTGCTTTTTTGATAATAAACATGGCAAACAGAATTCAAATGTAAAGCTTAATAAAAACTGTACTTGCTTGGTACCATCAGGAGTCAGCTGAGTGTCGAGAAACACGGAATTTCTAAATGACCCAAGTTGGAGGAAACAAGATCGCAGAGAACTTTTGTTTTCCACATCAGATTGTTGATGATTGATGAATACTTGCAGGTTAAACAAGATTTGCTCCCAAATGAGGAGCTCACGAGGAGTCAGCTTAGTTAGCTCACATGACACTGCTGTTATTGCACAAACGTGTTTCAGTGCTTCATTATTTCCCAAATTGAAGCTTGCAGCACAATGAAAATCTGATGGAAAAGACTGCTGAACAATTGGATATCTGTTTTCATATAATTAATAATAATTCATATTCATTGTTTATAATTGACTTTTTTTGTGGTTATGACAAATATAAAAAGATACCTTTGAGAACTTCTCTCAACCTTTCTCCATATTTTCTGTTGTTTTGTTAACCTAACAACCATTCATAAGGAGAAGAATGGCAACAGTACAACACACACTGGAGACATTTGTTTTTGTTTTGCATTTCAATGCAGCACTGCGGTAAATATATATAATATTAGTATGACATTAAACATTAAACACGTCCACAGATTTGAAAACCTCCCCAAAAAGAATCCGCCCCCTGTTCCAGGCTTCCGGTCTCGTGCTGAAGCTGAGTGACGCACGCGGAACCCGGAAGGTCGGTAACATTTCTTCCTCTCGAAAGTAAAGAAGTCCCGCCTTCTTTGCGCGCGGGCTCCCGCGACGTGCGCGACCTTCTCCGCGAGCACGCGCGGGACCAGCAACACTTCACAGCCGATCACATGACGTGACAAAGCAGCGAGCTACTTCCGGTGTAGACCGCCGCTAGCCAGACTGCTCGCGTACGGACCAGCTCGCCATCCAAGATGCTGGCCCTCATCAACAGGCTCCTGGACTGGTTCAGGACCATCTTCTGGAAGGAGGAGATGGAGCTCACGCTGGTGGGGCTGCAGTACTCCGGAAAAACCACATTCGTCAACGTGATTGCAGTAAGTCGCCAAAGAAGCGCGTCATTCCGGGCCGAGGCTGCCGAGCCGGAGGGAAGCGTTCTGTTCACGTGCTGCTCAAAGGGTTCTGGTTCTGGCTGCTACGTTCGTGTTGTTGTTCCAAATGTTCAGGCCGGGGGGGGGAGGAGGAGGGGGGGGGGGGACTTAACTGAAGGTGGTGCTCAGCCAGAGTGACGGAGTTGTTGACGGCGCGCGGTCACGTGAACGCGAGTTGTCGTTGTCGGGACAACTGAGCGAGGCCCGGAGGCGTAGCAGCTATCCTTATACAGCATTAAATATATATATATATAATATATATACACACAGCTGGTGGGTTGAAGGCTCGGTTGTTGTTGTTGTTGTTGTTGTTGTTGTTGTTTACGTGTATCCAGGTGACAGGCCACGCCTCGGCCACAGGGAGCCTCCTCCTGGATTCATCAGTCCGTTGTGCTCATTTCTAGTGATTCTCGTAGACTTTGCCCTGTATGAGTCATTTAAAGCAGCTGTATTCTAGTGTGGATAAAGGAACCGGGCTGCTTGTTACTGTATGCGGGTGTGCTGATGCCATCATCTTAAAAATGATTTATGGAGTCAAACTGGTTTCATTTGTGACCTCTGAGTGCAAAGGAACCACATAGACCTAAAGCAACTTGGACAATTTGTACAGAATGTTGCTGCACAAATAGTAGTTGGTGAAATGAAATATGTGGATATTTGTGACCGTAACACTTCATATTTCAGTTGCTCTTTGCAGTAATCACTAACACGCTGCCTTTTGTCCCGTGCAGTCTGGCCAGTTCAGTGAAGACATGATTCCCACGGTGGGTTTCAACATGCGGAAGGTGACTAAAGGCAATGTGACAATAAAGGTAGGCGGCTAATGAGCACAGACGTCCAGCTGGATGCTTTCGCTTCTCTGTCTTTGATTCTTTTTTAAACCGGCCCGCCGTGAGTCAACCTCTCAGTCTGTATAATTGTTTTATTAAGGGACAAACCTATAACTGTCCCTATTGAGGCTGTTTGGTTGTGGGCTTTGTCTCCTCAGATATGGGACATAGGGGGACAGCCTCGCTTCAGAAGCATGTGGGAGCGCTACTGTAGAGGAGTCAACGCGATTGTGTAAGTTTCACGCACTCTTATTTTTTCATATAATTGCTTTTGGAACTTTTCTTTTTCTGTCACCAGATCCTAAATTGTTTTTTCTCGCCCCTTTGCAGTTACATGGTGGATGCGGCGGACCGAGAGAAGATAGAAGCTTCCAGAATTGAACTGCACAACCTTTTAGACAAACCACAGCTACAAGGAATTCCAGTAAGAGGAGAATTGTGATCTCTTGTTCAAATGATCAGTAAGCGATGGGTCGCAGCGACGCAGACTCGACCAAACACTAAGTGGTCATTTGAGCCCATGCCGGGATTCTCTTTCAGTTTTCAATATCTAAGCAGACGGGCTGAATTGATTTGACGGGGTTTGACTTGCTGGATCAATTTGTGCTGCGACTCGATGCCGCACACAGTTTATTTCTTCCTCACAGTGGGGATTCGGTTCCGGTTCTAAGCGGTGGGACAGTGCTGAGACGTCGCTGTGCAGGACATTGACCACGCCTTTCTCTCTCTCAACATTTCAGGTTCTAGTACTGGGCAACAAACGAGACCTACCCAACGCGCTTGATGAGAAGCAGCTCATTGAAAAAATGTGAGGCTTTTTTCTTAATCCTGCACAAACTTCGGGACTACCTCGGATGTAAATCATCGCGTTGTCATGACGACTGCGTGATGAATCGGTGTCAGTCAGTGTACCCCGTGATGAAGTTGTGATATGAGGCATTTCCAATTCATTAAATTTAACCCAAACTACCGGTGGTGAATCTAGAATACTTGATAATTGTTACTATGAAAAGCTTTTCCCAGAACAATGGAGGCCGTTGGCAGCAGCTTATTAACGCCGTAGGTTTGGAAAGAGACCGCAGACAGTGAAGCTGAATCCTTCAGTTTGCGGTACTCAAAATAAAACTGGACCCAAATGGCGTTGCTGGGATTTGGGGACTTTAGGACACATTTTGGACCATTCGATCAGTAAATCCTAAAATAGACCAAAACAGATGTTTCTACTGTATCCCCCGACTTCAGCTCACTAGCAAGGCTGTCTTTGAACAAGGCCTACAATGCTGCCATTTCACTGCACGTACCACTAGACACTAAGAGTGCAAGTTTGGCAGAGCACACGGATGTGCTAAGCTTCTACTCTGCTAAGCGCCCCCTTCTTCAAATATTAACATTGTCAGACTGCTGACCAGCGCCTCTACTGCCTAAAAGGACAACGTCCCAAAAAACTGGATGGGGGCATTATACGATTTTGTTCTTTAAGTTGCTTTGAACCTAAATCTAATGTCTCCTTAAAGGTTTCATATTTCCTATTCCCTTTTGCAGGAACCTATCTGGCATTCAGGACCGAGAGATCTGCTGCTACTCTGTTTCCTGCAAAGAGAAAGACAATATAGGCAAGGAGATTATCACAGTTAATTCTTACCTGCAGCCGCATATATATATATATATATATATATATATATAAAATATATATATATATATATATATGTTGGGTGTTGTGTGGGCCTGCTGTGCTCTCTAACACGTGTCACTATCCCCCTGCAGATATCACGCTGCAGTGGCTCATCCAGCATTCAAAGTCACGGAGAAGCTGAAAAAGAAGGCGTCCCAGTCGCAGCCGTGGCCTGAGCCCCCTAATGGTCACGGGACCCCGACAGCCATCTTATTCCAGCTATCTGCTCACTACCGTCACCACCCAGTACACTACCATAGATGCCCCCTGTACAGCACTACCGCCACCACTACTCCCCAGAGTCTGCGAGCGTTGTGTCAGTACTGCGCGGTGGACGTTCACACCCATCATGCCTTATCGCTGAACATCTGTCCCCTTCGACACAAGAATCTAATGATGCTGCAGCGTCCTGGCTACACTGAGACGCACCTAATCCCACACGCGGACAACAGTTCTGTTGCTGGTGTTTACGTGAACGGTTGCCATTGTAGTTATTTGCCAAATGACGACAGCAGCTCGTATTGATGCGGCCCGATCCCGCCTTTCCTATCGCTCGTATTAAGTGACGTTTACACATAACGTAAAGACAAAACTCGGTGTTTGTTTTGTCCAAAGCAAAATCCTAAAACGGGTCAATGGAGTTTAAAGTGCCTTCGAGGAAGGAATTGCTCTAATCAGACACTTTAACCCGATATCCTAAAGGAACAGCAGCAGCGTGACGTGAACACGCCGTCTCATTTAGTATTCCCACTAACGCACTGCGATGTCTGAGACGAGGCCGTACTGTCGACCGTGTACCTTCCACTTGTTTTGGAAGGTGGGTTATTGTGGTAATGCTGCCCCCCCCCTGCAGCCTGCGCCGCTCTAATGTGGCTCCAGACTGATGGATGTTTCAGGAAGCGTTCTGAGCACAGCGATGTACCCAAAGCATCCGTTGGATGATTCCTGTGACCTCTGGGTTGGATAACACAAAGTCCGGAGAACAGAAGACAATCTGTTAGTTTAACGCGTCGGACGCTTCATGTCTTACTCGTCTGCAGCCTCGTGTCTTTTTGTAGAAGCCTTAGCAGCACTCAAGACGCCGTTCATCAATTGACGTGTAACCTGTCAGCCACAGGACTTCTTCCGCATACCGACACTGTAAATCGATCTGCCCTTTGCTCCGCTTGTTCAGCTCCATCCATTTATAAGTATTTTCTTCATGTGTGAGCGTTGCTGATGATGCACGCAGTGCTCTACGTGGCTTCTGCCTTTCACTGTCATTCTTTCTGCACACACATACGAGTTGTTGGGCGTCCGTCGGTGATCGTAGGGATACGAAATGACGACCGTTGGTGACTGTGGGTCATTTAGGGGAAAGCTTTTGTTACCTGTGTAATAATATAATAGAATATAGCCATTTGCATGTGCAGAACTTTGTAAATAAGATTCAGCATTTTTATTCCAACAAATGCCTGTCATGCCTTTCTTTTTCTCCTCCTGTGATTGCTAATAAATTTGGTTTTATTTTTAAGGTGTTCGGTGTGGCGTCTCGTGGTTAATGTGTGTGTTCACCACAAGGTGGAGGCAGAGGACCTTGGAGGCAGTTTAACCCAAAGTCCTCATCACAGACCTTCAAAAGTCCTCTTAGGTCATCGCAGACCTTCCAAAGTCCTCTAAAGTCATCACAGACCTTCCAAAGTCCTCTTAGGTCATCACAGACCTTTCCTCCTTTTTTTGTAGGACAATGTTAGGATATTTAGAGCGGCACTGAGTCCCACGTGAGTGACCACAGCTAAGCGTTGACCTACTGTCACAGCACAACGTATTGTGAAAGGAGGATCTGGCAGCCTAAATACACTCCCCTCCATTCTTTCCTGTATGTGGTCTTAACTTGGTCCTACCTCTGAATAGCTGTGGCTCTGTTATATCCATTAAGCAGCTATTGTTACTTACGGATCCCATAATGGATGAATAACACCTCCAGTGTTTCTTGGGAGGGAAATGCACCATACTAATGCATTACACACAGAAATACAACACTGTGCGAGCAGAATGTTGAGACGTGCGCGGGAAATGTGTGTGACAAACTAGGGGGCAATAAAGCAAGCCGTGTTCTCACAGCTGGAGCTCGCAGGGAGGAGGCCTGAGCCGTTAAAGCAAGCGCCCCTTAATTAATCTTATTGCTTAAACGCACTCTCCATTCATTGTGTATGAGGGCAGCAGTGGGAACGTGTGGACAGATCTAGGTGTTATCTGACGAATTCCATGGATCACGTGAGATGTGCGTGTGTGTGTGTGTGTGTGTGTGTGTGTGTGTCCGCATGGGAACTTTGTAACCGTATGTATGTGTGTGGTTTACATTTGCAACGACCGCCAGGGATTAAGTGGTGGTTACAAACCTGCCACGAGGATTTATGTAAGCAGGTCATAGAGAAGACCCGAAGGCGTGACACACTATTAATGTGGTTTCACTCCATTACATACCAAAGGGCTCATTAGGTAACCCACAATGCTTTGCACATACCACAACTGCTCTTTCTTAGGTGTCCAAACACGCGTTGGTCAGGCCTGTGAATGACCGCTCATCCCCAAAATTAAAAGAGCTGCTATAAATTTGAATTATGGAATATTTGTCCGAACATTTTTCTCTCCCCAACAGCTTTCCTTCCATTTAATTGCAACAACCGTTGGCCTAATAAATCCTCATTAGAACATTGATGGGTGTTTTTCATTATCAGGATGTAACTCAGGATGTAAAGGTTTGGCCTTACTCTGATATTCAACCTTCTGTTTCTCCAGTTCTCCTGTCTGTAGAACGCCCGCCTGTCTGATGCACATAAACTGTTGGTGATTGAAGCAGCTGTCGCTGAAACGTGTTGATCATGGTTTTATCTGGGTTTATCCTGCATTTAGTTTCCCCCTCTGCCCTCTTATTCCCTGTCATTATAAACTCAGACAGGCCTGTGAGGGTATTTAGTCCATTTCCAGCTTTTAAACGTTTATGATGAGACTGAAGCCATCAAGCTGCAACCATTTGGTTCTCAGGGTGAAGATCACTTAATTGCTGATTTACAGCACTTGTATCAGAAGGAGTAATGAACAGCAAGATATTAATTGTAAAATTCAGCAGAGAGTTACTGGCGATGCTGCTTGACTTGGTGGAGCTCTGTGTTTAATACACATGTGTGGTATGAACAGACGTTCGTATTGAAGACATGATTTCAGAGACCCAGCCGGTCAGTTTTCTTCTTACCGTTGTTTGCATGAAGTAAATAAGTTGTTCCAAAGTCCCTAAAGGAAGGTACCTTAAGTTTGAAGCCATTGACCTGCATCTGCAAGCACTTCATCTTGTCCCAGTGCGGACCGGTTAGTTTGGCACTAATAACCATGTGTGGAATGTCACATGATTCATACCGAGCGGCGTGGCCCGTATCACCGTCCCTTACTGCTCGGCACCCTGTAAAGAGCAGATGGTCACAGTCCATCTTAACTAGAAAAATGCCTTCAACTGACCTGCTTAACAAGGACCGTTTAGTGGGTTTGACTTGATGGGATTTTCAGTTCAGGGATTTTTATTGACTTTTTTCGCATTCTGATGGCAATTTATTTACACTCATTGACTTCCTTTTAAAACGAGCAATACTTCATTTAAATGTTGCCTAAAGCCGCAGCAGATGATTAGCAGCCCAGTCGCCACGGGATCATGGTGTTGCTCCACCACTGTGGTGCAAAACAAAATAATAATTATCCAACCAGCCCAATCGTTTAATATTGGTCAAATAAAATGATTGTATGGCTTATTGCAATCCTGTAACAGCTGAGCTTTTGGACACTTAATCATCTCTTTGCGTGACCACTGACAGCCGTTCAGAAGGGTGAGTTTCCCATCTATAACATGTGTAGCATTGCACTGTGGGACCTTTAGTCATGGGACCATACACGCCTTCACACGTGACTTCTGACATTGAAATGAAACGGCAGCCAGCGAATATACTGTGACTTTATAGTAAGTAGTACACAGGAGTACAGAGCCTGAAATATTCATCACAGCCAAATGATAAATCCCAACAGCTTTGCATTGGCTATGTTATATGAGAACGCGGTGGAAATATCTGTAAGAAGTTATCATGCTTTGCTTATTACATACAAACCCTTTTAGACTTTAGGCATTTCACAGATTAAAAAAGATGAAAATATGATGAGGAAAATCATGTTTAGCTGGTCGGTGTTTTGATCCTAAAAGCGGAAAGAAAAAATGCTCAAACTTAAACTGTCCTGTTTCATAGTGGGGACAGTGAAGTGTTCAATATGCATGACTTTAGTCGAGTGGCTGTGAGCCATAATAAAATAACGCAGTTTGAGTGTCAAACGAGAAAGTTATGACTTTCTTCTTTTTTGTGATTGTAGAAGTGCAGAAAAGCTGCTGAGAACTCCAAATGCAATAAATCCATTTCCACTCAGTGCGAGTAATCTTTCAGGTCCGCGTCCTCTCAGATAGTCGGCTCTCCTGTGAACGCGTTGGTCCTCTCACCTCCTCAGATTCCATTAAAAACCACAGCTCCAGCTCCGGGGCTCTGATCAAATAGGCCGGTTAATGCATTTCTCCTGCGTTGTGATGTATTTTTTTTCTCCTATGTACCTCATATTTACATATAGATTGAGTATTTATCATTCTGCATTTTAAGGCAGATTCACTGTAATCCACTTTATTAAACCATGTTGGATTTATGTATATTTAATGAAAAGTTGATGTAGGGAGTGTAATTCTTTGAACAAGAGAGATTACTCTGAATGTGGCTTGAATAGTAATGTGGCCGCTGTGAGCAACTGAACTTGTAAATCTTCAATTGTTGGTTTGATCAGTTTTTTTAATGGTGTGGTGGCTTTTGCCTTGTTCCAAACACATGTGAATAATCATGCAAGTATCAATCCTCAGTTTCTTTATCCTCCTGTAAAAGCGATTGAAATGACATAAGTCATCATCCCAAACACACAATCCATACTAGCAGAAGCCGTTTTACGGTGTGGTCCCACACCATCCTTCTTCCACTGGGATGTCACCACAGTTCCACACAAAGAAAGCTAGATTTGGTTTGGGGAATATACCTATTTCCTTTCTAGATAAAAGTGTATTTATCTTATTTTACCGCAACCGGAGACGGTGTAAGCAGCTGCAGATTGGGTTGTGGTCGTTGTGGTTGTAGCCTTATGTCCTAGTTTTGTTAGCTTAGCTTCCATCCCAACTATGATGTATTTGACTTGAAAGAGGACCATAATTTACCACATGAACGTCACACTTTATTGAAAAATGAGTTATTTGCACCATTAGCCCATGTTTACAATGTTTACTCATGCAGGTTTTAAATCATCTTCTCATAGACTTCCATGCAATTGGCTTTACTTTTGCAATCAGAGGAGTTGCCCTGTGAAGGGCAGTAGAGAGAATGCAAGTGTGAGCTGCTTCAGCCTCGCTTCAGTTTACAGAAGCCGAGGTTTCCACTTGGTTTAATCTGACTTGGTTCGTCAGAAGATGCTACACCAGCGAGGTAGTCATCTTCAAAGACCACGGTCAAAACCACGGAAAAATAAACTTAAATGTGTCTTTTTTGGTAAATTCTGTCCTTGCAGAGGACGTTGTCACTGGTGCACAGTCACTGTGGCTTCAGGTTAACAATGGGCTGAAAACCCTGTAGGTTGTAAATAGGCTACAAAGACAAATGTTGGAAGCATTATAACAATTGGAACTTTTTATAATGTAGCGCAAACAGTCTCAACCCAAAGGCTCAGTTTGGAAGGACATTTTCAGCTTTGCATGCTTCATTCTTAGGTTTTGTTTTGCGCCAGACCTTCATGTCATTTCCATGCTTCCATTCCAAGCACCATCCCCACCACCCCTGCTCCTCCTTAATGAGACTTTGGATTCAGTCCACTCAGAGGGACAGACGTTTCCCCGGGCCAGACGAACAGAAAACTGGCAGCTGGAATCCGACCAGGTGACTCGCCTTTGATATGAGCAGAACCTTTCCTCTGCAGGGAGCCGGCGTTGGCAGACAACGTGAAGCCAATCAGATGGGAGAACAGAGTTTTATTTTCTCTGATCGCCTGCCAGGATACCTTATGCAGCAGACGCAGGACAATCATACTTTCAATGATGCATAGCTCCAGATGAAAAGTGATTTATGAAGATGCCTGCAGTGTGTGATGTCATTTTCAGAGACAAGCTGGGATCTGCTGCTCTTCTTCCGGCTCAATCTTCATTTTTGAATTTCGTTCTCGTCCCTTTTTTTGTTGTTGTTGTTTTCATTACATGAAGGAAATATCTGCAGCAACATCCCTTGAGTAACATGATTTACTGTTGCTCCTACAGTAGAAGCAGTCTTCCCTGTAGGGTTGCGCTCCATTATAAAATGTTGCTGATGAGAAGCAGCTGTTGCCTAAGTCACAGGCGTAGGAAAACTAGCCCATTGGCAACTTTCAACCACCTGCCTGCACACACGGTGTTTTCAGCCACAAGCAGCCTGCAGATTGGAACGTG